TCATTGTCATTGTTATTATCATTATCATTATTATTGTCATTATTATTGTCATTGTCATTATCATTGTCATTGCGATTGTCATTGTCATTGTCATTGCCATTGTTCTCGTTCTCGTTCTCGTCATCGTTATTGTTACTGTTATGTTATTGTTAGTATTATTATTATTATTATTATTATTATTATTAGTCTCCCTGGGAAAGTACCATCAACACACAATTCACGTATTGCCCCATCATCATGCGTCCCCTGTGCGACTAAGTCTAGGCACTAACCTAACCCTCTACTACGTCTGAGACTAAAACCCTGACCCATTGGCGACTTTTGACCACTACGTTCCAAGAAGCTTTGACGCCAACACTCATTCAAGCATCTTTTTAAGTACTCACCTGGGTTGCTGGGTTGTAGCCCTGTGTTCCACAGCAGCGCGCATTCTGTACTCCGGATGGTTTAGTCGAGATTTGTCCTGAGCAACACATCTGTCAAGCAGCGACACGAAGAAATGTTAGTAATTCTTTATTATATGACTAACAAAATTACTCAATTATAATTGGCTGGAAACAGGCCAATTTACCGTTTAATTTCAATTTGCACTGCAATGTGAGTTAAGGTGGTCGTGCGTTCGTGTTTTTCTCAGTCATATAATGAGTATGAATGCGAGTACAATTAAGAATAAAATTAAATTGAAACTACTATTAAACTAAACTACTTGTAATATTTGAAAATTCTTTCAAACCACACAAGACAAAAGGCCTACATTTTTTGGAGAATTTTCAAATATCACTCGATTTGTGTATGTGTGCATTTGCACTCCCATTCATACGATTATGTAAACTGATTAATTTAAAAGGTGTTTGTTCGTATATAGTGCTTTAATACCGTACGACTGTGTAACTATAATCACTAATTCATCGATGTTGTTTAAACTTTAATTGTACCAAATAAATGCGTGTAGTTAAGTACTCAATATTTTTAATTGGACGGGTTAGTTGAGTTTAACCATTCAAATCAAAGCTGTTGAGAAGTATTTTCACGTGCTACTGACACCACATGAATCAATTGTAGCTATTTAAGCACAATTCTGTTGTCTGTTTTCCGTGTTGTATATATTGCGTATTTGACTTTGTTCAAGCAACACCCTGGAATCGATCCTCCATGTGGATCTGATCAGTTGCGGCGTTTACTTTGCAAAGTGGTTCCATCTCTGGCCAACTTGTAATTCAGTGGATGAAAGTTAACCCTGGTGTTTGAAGACCTTTGAAATTTCAAATTAACAGGGCTGCTGAGGTGGTCTATGAGTTATTCAAATTCACCTGAGTAGTAGGGTTGTAGCCCTGTCTTCCACAACAGCGTGGATTCTGCACACCGGCTGGCTTATTTGTGACCTGTCCGAGGCAGCATATCTGATGACTGGTGAAGATAAGCGTTTTACCGCAACATCCAGTCTGTAAGTTATTTATCTTGTTATGAAGTGTATTCCAGCAGCAAATCTGAAAGAGTGAGAAAGGTTTTTTTTTCTAGCAAAGCGAATAGCAACAATTAAGTACTCAGTAGAGCACTTTTCCAACCGTTTGCGGTTGCGACGCGGCAACTCCTGGGAATAGTCCTTACGCGAGCTACAATCACGCGACATAACCACGCAAATGCTTTTTCAACCGTTTCAACCTGCAGTTTGAGGCCGGTTGAAAAAGTTGATCGACCAAATCAGCTGAAAACGGTTTTTTCTCAATAGAACAAGAAAAAACTCAATCAACCCAACCAACGGTCGATCTCAATAGAACACGACCTTAGGGTGCAAAATACTATACCAGAATCGAACAAGGGTTCTTGAGACTGAGGAAAACTGAAAAGGATTGCAAACAACGCACTAACAGAGTTTTAACATCTCCGCGATGCAGCTGCTTTAAAAGATCCTAAACATACCTTAAGGGCAAGGTTACATCAGTATCAATTATAAAATAGCAGGTGAAACTGTACGGGTTTATTTCGAGCGCTAACCGGAGTCACCATTCAGTGTTTTTGGGAGGATAACTTTAAACTGAATACTCACAGTGCTCCAGGAGTGAACTATAGGGTAACTACGCAGGCAGCAGCAATATACTCCATTAGGTAGGTCATTTTGGCGCAGACTTTATTTGTGAAATATTTATTAAAATAAACTGAAATTCAAAAAAGAAACTCCACGCTACCTAGACACCACCTCAAAGCTCTTCTACTACGGTCAAGCAATTTTTCAAAATAAGTTTTACAAAATCTGTTTACCTTTTGATTTCTATCATAAACAGTGCTTCCACAACAGCCAGGTGAAGAGATTCCAGCAGTTGACAACACTTTTCCTCCACAGCAGTTGTGTGTGTTAGGGTTGTAAGACGCGCTCCCGCAGCACTGAGCTGGCTTCGGTGAAATTGTTCTAGAACAGCACACGTGAGTAGAAGGGTTGTAGCTTTGCAATCTGTGAATATAACAGAATTTTATACAAGGAATTGATCGAAGTAATTGATGTGTGTAACAGGACGCATATGATGTTAATACCAAATTGGTTCAATTCACGTTACGACCTTGTTCCTTTGCCGCCGATTAAGCTATGACGCTAAACGGGAGCAAGACTTGCGTGCGAACACCTCCAATTTGCGCGGAAATAACGCGCGTAAAAGTTTGTCCCCAGACATTACTACCTGATGCGCGAAGTGGCGACTAGTTTTCGACTTTCCGAGGGCAAAGCTAGAGGAAAACTTCGAGCTTCCCTAAATTAACTTGATTTTAGATTGTTATTGTACATTTCCTAGTGTTATGGTTTTATAGATACTTAGCTTTTAGAACAAACCACCACACAAGCTTCTTGGATTTAATCACAATCCATCAAATATTTTTTCTCGCGCGCTTTTGGTCCAAACGCATCAAGTGACTGAATATTTTCCAGTTAAAACTAGGAAATATCCGAGTGATATTCCCCAATTTTCAAAACCGCCCGTGTTGTGAAAAACATTTGACGGATTATGAACACAATAGCCTCCATTTGGCGAGAAAATATGCTCGGATATTTGTCCTAGGACATTATATCTGTTCCTCGAAGCTCACAGTTTTCCTCGAGCTAGGCTTCAGGAAAACTGTTCGCTTCTCGGAAGAGATAATGTCCGCGGACAAATATCCGAACATATTTCCGAGCCAAATGGAGTTGTTTTTATGTCATCGTTTTAATATAATCCATTTGATTTACCTCCATTCTTAAGGGTTTTTTGTCATCATCATTTTCACGACAAAATTTAGCACTCACCCTAAGCGAACTTTAGAATGAGCATCTCAATTTTATGATAAGTATAGGAACTAGATCTTGATCGCATTTCAAGAATTGCCCAGTTCATTTCAAGCTTGAAAAGGGGAACAGTCATGATGAGACAAGAAGAACGACATGAGGTAATTCCAACCAAAGCCGTTGTTGGTATGTACCGCTGGTAATCCTCTGGGGCCAATAATACACCCCATCTCGACTAAAGTTTTGCAAATTTTTTAAATTGTGCTATCCACTTCACACGTATCCGAAGTAATCTTGTTGTTTTCTTATCAAGGCACTTACCCACAACATCTACTGGGTTGACCGCCAGGAGGTCTGGCAACGAGGTTTCCATAACAGCAGCTTTTTTTACTGCTGTCATACGGGACACTGCCACAGCAGGCGTTGAGAGAACCTGCCTTGCTCTTTACAGCGCCATTACAACACAGCTGTGATCTAGAATTATAGGTGGAGGAACCGCAACAGTAGTGACCAGGATTTTTAAAGCGAAGCTGACCGCGGCAGCAAAGCTGATAGCGCGGATTGTAAGGATGGCGGCCGCAGCAATCGTGTGCATAAGATATCTTGCGTGATTGTTGCTGTTGGTCGTTATCACGGAGCAGGTACTGATCATCACATGGTCTGATCCCAGGAAGACCACGACTCGGTTTTTGACAATGAGTTTCTACAGCTGTGGGAATAAAATGATTTTCACCCTGTTATCAAACCTAGTGAATGATTTGCCGATAGACAGCAGAAGCGCATGATGTCGTAGTTCCCTCATGATGAACAATTGAACCTGGTTCAGAGCTGTAGCTAGTAACAAACAAACCGAGGCACTTCCCACAGTTATTTTGTCTCGTTTTTGTTGTTTATAGTCATCATAAACACCCTAACTACCTAGGAAGAGAATTTAACCATGGACATTGCTTCAGTCATAATGTAATGTCTTTTTTAATGGACATTGCCTCAGCCATATATTTTTTTTTTTACTTTTTATTATTTTTTTTTTTTGGCTACGGCCTCGCAATTAGGCTACGGCCCTCGCAGTTTCTAATGGCAATCAAAGCCAGCAGGAGCCGAGTACGAGCTGTCCAATTGCTTAAGCATGATTATAACCCACTGGTCAGCCTATCGAACAAAAAAAAATATCTAAGATTTTTCACCAAAACGCAGTTAAAGTTGAAGCCATTTTCAAAGATTGACCAGCTTCCGGTGTCGCATATCGATCTGAACGCCCTTTTTAGCCAATCAGAATAAGTGTTTACCTGACTGTGAGCAAGTGAGTTATCGTGCAATCAACGGTAGACCAAAATAGTGCCCGATGTACCCTTCCGGTACACCCTTGAACGGCAAAAACACAGATTTCTGGCATAAAAACAACCTAACTTGTAGGTCTTTTCAATCAATTTTCTACAGTGTTACCAATAAGACCATTCGCCTATATTTTATTTTCCCTGTGAGCAAAACTCTCTGAGTGAGGATGCTCTGATCGTTGACTATTTCCTCGATGATAACTTCAGCTGGTCCATGCGGTAATTGTAAATTAACACTTATTTTAACCCGTATTTTTCCTCCAAAACGGCAATTCTGTCACATTGACATCTGTGTCTCAAATCGACGGATGTACATCAGTGGCGGATCTAGGGGAGGGCACCCCCCTTCCTTATTTTGGGTAAAAAAAGAAGAAATCATAGAGGGAAGAAAAGCCGGCAGGGCAAGCAAAACAAAACCGCCCCTCCCCCCTCCCCCCCCTCCCCCTTAGCTCAAGGTCTGGATCCGCCACTGTACATATTCACGATTGTCAAAATAAAAATCAATTCCATGCAATGCAATTAAATCTTTTTAGGAGTATATAGATCGGTTTTCAATTGAGTGTCGTAAAAATAAAACCGAAATTACTTACTAAATTATACTACTCAGCCAATAATATCAAACCGTAGTAAAACCAAAACCAAAGCAATTGTCTAATTACTTTCGACACTCGACTGAAAACCGCTCTGTTATAGATTAAGAAAGTTTCTTTAAAATTATTACTTACGTTCTTGACTTCAGTAGTGATGTTGTGAGGGGAGGTTTGATTTTGATCGTAGTAGGTGAGATTAGAAAAAGAGTTTTACTTACCAAACACAATAAGGACGGCGGCGGCAAGGGTGCAAGCAAGCTGTACCATAGTGGATAATGTCTTGTTGTTATCGTTTTTCAAAGTCTTCAGGGACAGAAATAGATGATATAAGAAAAGAGAACAGCCATTTTAATTAAAACATAAACAAGTAGTCTGTAAGCGAAAAAATGCTGATTACTATTTTCAAATATCTCCTTTCGTTCCAGAGATATTTTCGTTTTTAAAATATGCAAATTGGCCAAGTGATGACGTTATATACTCAACCAAATTTTGATCAAATTTGATGAAGAAAGATGGCTCGACCAATTTGTATCAGAAATGTTTGATTCTTTACAGTAAGATTCTACTAGATATGCTACAAAATATGGGCTCAACAAATCTGTTACCGTGGCAACATATTGGATTTCAGACCTTCCCAGTTTAAAAGGCATTTTTGGCCACCTTTGGCGTTCCATTTTGATATTTGCTAATGGGGCCTAATCTGCATGATTCAGCAAGCATTCGAAAAAATATTTAAACATATGTTAGGTCGAGCTCGTGTTCTTGTTTAATTTTTTCTAAGCTGCAAATCACTAAATTTTGAAAACAGGTTGGCGAGGCCTGGAAAAGAGCGAGATGCCATGGGAACATAATTTTTATAGCCATAGGTGTGTTGCCTGTAGAACAACTAGCCTACCAAGTTTCAATGGTCTCTGATCTTCTGCAAATTGACGAGATATCCCTATTTATATACCCTAGGTAATAGGGAGTTTAACCAAATCACTACGGCTTGTGCTACTACGGCTGCTGTGACTGAAAAGGTCTGGGGAGAGTACGTCTCGGTGGGTTGCCAAATTTTACGTCTAGCAAGCAAAGCGAAATACAAAGATGAACGAAACATTGGCTAAGAAGTTTAAAATCTCTTTTATTTAGTTTCTCATAGCCAAATGGCTTCGCTCAAAGGGCGACGGCCGTTATTCGCCTTCCTAGGACGAACATGCAGATTATTTCTAAGCGTAAGCGAAAGCGAATGCCATACACTTTGTACCATAACAATTTGATGGGTGAAATATATAATTTCAGGGACAAATATCTCAAAGAATATTGAGTGAAAAACACAAATATCAATACTCAAAGAAGCAAAATAGCACCGTATAGTTATCCGGATATAAAACATCTTGACTAAACCGTCAAAGCAAACCTAANGGCAACCTTGACATAATCTTTGACTTAATCCAATGGAATTGTTAAAATGCCGAGATGTCCGTTGAAAAGGGCCAGAGAAGCGAAATAAACCCGACGTAGCAGCCACTACGACAAAACATCCCGACTCGCGTAGTCAGATTTCACTCTACAGCTGGATGCAACCGACGTACATGCGCAGTGCCTCATTTTGGGGTAAATTTACTTCCGGCAGCCGTATCAGCGACAGCCGTAGCGATTTGCTTAAAATCCCTAATATTGAGTTGAGTGTATGGCGTCATTAGTCATCGCTTTAATTTGCCATTTTCATATTATATTCTTCGGAACTAACGCAGATATTTGCAAACGGTGAACGACGCATTTAATCTTTCATGGAATTCTATGTGATATAGACTACGAGTAGTCCCTCTTTCGCTTAGTCCGTCGTGCGTGACGCGAAAAAAAAACCGCGAGAAAAAAATGGCCGCGCGAAATCCTGGGGGCGAGAAGAATGGCCGCGCGAAATCCAGGGGGCGAGAAGAACGCGAAAGGAGGGACCTCCCCCAGGATTTCGCGCGGCCATTTTTTTCTCGCGGTTTCTTTTCGCGTCACGCACGACGGACTAAGCGAAAGAGGGACTACTCGTAGTCTTTTTGTGATGCACGTAAACATTTAAGGGGTAATGAAGTAAATAATGATAACTCCTCGAACTAAACACAAGCAACAGGTAAACCTCCAACTTTGCTATAAGGCTAATATTTGATTTTTCGAGTTTTATAAAAAATCAAATTTTCGCGGGCAGGTATCAACCCATTCGCCCTGAACAGAAACACTCTATTGTTTTAACAGAGCTCCGAGCTGGTCTTCTTGAACACAATCTAAGATAAAGATTGCCAATACAAGCTCAAGAAGACTATGCCAGTGGCTAAATGGCCGGCAGCCGGTCAAGGTTTTAAAATCACTAAATGACCGGAAGTCTGATATTTTTCTCAAATTTTAACGAATCGAAGGAACCCATCCAATTCAGAGTATCACATGTCGATTAAGAACTGCCAAGCGATCCAGAAGAGAAGTCTAACGGTTGGTTTACACTCGGCTCAGAGAGCGAGACCATGGCTTGCGACACTCAGGATTTTTTTAGATCGACTGCCGGTCAAGGGTTTTAAATCACTAAATGACCGGCAGTCTGATATTTTTCTCAAATTTTAAGGAATCGAAGGAACCCATCCTTCTCAGTCGACATGTTGTAAGATAGCTTGTACATGATTACTGAGTTCGCTCGATTCCCTAAACTCGGACTGCCGGTCATTTAGTAATTTGAAAACCGTGACCGACAGTCGACCTAAAAAACATCTAAGTGTCACAAACCATGGTCTCGCTTTCTGAGCCGAGCGTAAACCAAGCGTTTATTAGACTTGCGATCTATACAACTCTTCTGGATCGCTTGGGTTGGGATGGGTTCCTTCGATTCCTTAAATTTGAGAAAAATATCGGACTGC